TAAGGTATGCAAAATAAACTTTCAAAATTCCGCGATGACTAAGAGTAATCATACCTCTGAACTAATATGAATTTTCTATGCACATATCTGAATATCTTGAATAAATCTGTTCATAAAAGTATATATGATACTCAGATAAGTACACATCCAATCTTAAATGGGCAGAAAGTAAAATTTGGTCAAAATCAGAAATTTTCGACTCATAATTTTTTGTCCTATTATCAGTACATTATTATTAGTAATTACAATAGCCACCAGTTCAGTAATTCCGCTAACGTCTACTGCTTTCCATCTCTCCATTGTCATTTTCATACACCTCGAAATAAAATTTGTGTAAAATGAAAAATTGTTGACATATTTTTTTACATTTTGAAAAAAATTTTAATTTGTTTTAATAATTCTGCTACCATTTGAGAAAACGAACATGAATTCAATAAAAATATGCATCAGCAATAATTGGGAGATATCCAGAAGCGAAATGCGGATGATGGATTAAAAGTTATAATAACCTGAAAACATGAGAAATTAAGTTTAGTTGATCAAACGGATATTAATAAAACTATTATTTCGAGGATGTAGAGAGGAAACTACTCAATACACAAAATTCTATCTTGGGATTGAAATTGGTTTCCTAAAAATACCAAGGTATGTACAGTTAAGAACATGTTACAACCATGAGTTAAGAAGAAGACTAAATCTAAATTCGTTAAAAATATTACAATGTGAAGGGATCCCAGCCATATAATGGGAAATCAGATAAGAATACAGACATAAAGGTAGTTGGTAATGGGAATGAAGGATTTTATTGGTCGTTGAACGATTAATGCTAAACATGTGAATATTATAGAAAATATATTAGAGTATAATCCTATTGAGACAAGTCAAACTGTTTCAAATAACGTATACATTAACCAGCTGTTACGGTATTAGTACTGATACATTACACTTCGAAATATATAGTCGAACAGTAATTGGGGCTACTATAATACCTATATCAATAGGTGTAGGATTGGGGTATGTAGGAAGTTTTGGAAATTGGTACTACTGTGTACTAAATTTGGTACAATTTGGGTGGGTGACCCAATAGAGTTGAAATCCTAAAATTTGAATTTGGAATCATGGTGGGGGTGAAGGCTTGGGTTAAGTAGGAAGTTGTGGAAATTCGTAATACTGTGTACTAAATTTGATACAATTTGAATTGTGGGTGAACAGATAGAGTTTCCGTTGGATGGTTGAGGAAGCTACTTATGGAAATAATGTGTGCAAAATGGAACTTTTTTCTGACGTACGCAGTAAAATAATATGTTAATACATGTTGAAGTATTTCCTACATTCGCTAACGGGCATATGCTAGTTAATAATAAATTGGTGTCAATTAAAAGTTCATATATATATATATTATCATTTTCACACAAAAGTCTAGCTCCATTTGAACCGCTTATTCTTTGGTCAGATTCTCTCCCTGGTGTAAAATTTCGTTGTGTTCGGGTTATAATTGTGTGTGTTTTTTGTTCCATTCCACCCTTTAAATATGAACCGATCATTACCAAAAAACCAGTGACTACCACGAACTCTAACTTTCTGAGGATGTTTATTCCGAGTCTGAGTAATATTTCGTGATATTTGCACACTCTTGTCCGATTAGAGGTCAACAACACCTCTTCCTTACTTTTTTCGAATATTCAGTACAGTCCTTCTAATTACTTGTCCAGATTACCTTCACGGTGGGTTGTGTTGTGATTTTTGGATTATATTATATTATATTCTCCGTCCATTTCATCCCAAAATTTTAATCTGATCATCACCGAAAATTATAGGCGTTGTTCTTGACCATAACTGGAACCTCATGAACAATTTCAAAGCCATCAGCGCGATATTTCTCCCTCTAATGTGGTAATGGGTTACTAAATAATATCTGAATACGTAAGCACCTGTAAATATTTGACTGTAACTCCCACATCTGAGTAGATACATCACTATATTTGGTATCAATTTAAAGGCCAACCACTCCTCTTGGATATGCTATCAACTCCTATATCCTCCAGGATATATATATATATATATTTTTCACACAAAAGTATCCATTTGATCCGCTAAATATTGACCGATCTTTATCAAAACATGCATGCTTATTCTCTGGCCCGATATATTCTCCATGCAAAAATTCGCGGTGTTTGGGCCATAATTGCGGCCTCTGTTTAGTATTTGGTCCATTTCATCCCCTAAATATTAACCGATCTTTTCCAAAAACAATAGGGGTCTTCATTGGCCAGAACCCATCCTACATGCAAAATTTCGTGAAGATTGGTCCATAACTGTGGCCTGTATCGTGTTTACAAATTATAATGGACAGACGGACGGACGGACACACATGTCTATATCGACTCAGAGTCGAGATATGACGATCGTTATACTTAAAGGTGGGTGTAGGACCAATATTTCGCGGCGTTACAAACATTTGGGGCTGCACAAAGCTATAATACCCTGACAACATAGTTGTGTAGGGTATAAACATGCACAATCTCGTGACAATAATGGACACATGGACAGACGGACGGACAGACATGTCTAGATCGAATCAACTAGTCGAGATATCGGTATACACCTAAGTCTGTTTTTGCACGGTCTTTTTGTTTTGATATAACACGGTTTGAATATTGAATATTTTTAATTTTTTTAGACGATTTTATTCCATTTAGCACGATTTGAAATTTTATGTACTTAAATTTTTTTGTCAAATTTAACTTTTGCAAAGTATGTTCATATCACAAAAAAGTATTTATGAAAGAAAAAAGTCTGAAACCACGGCTTCTTCTGGAACCAATCTACCGTGTAAAAATAGACTTAGGTGTACTTAAAGGTGGGCCTTGAACAAGTTTCGTTGAAATCGGTTCATATTTCGATATAGCTTTCATATATATTTTCGTCCGATTTTAAATAAATGGTGCATCAAACTCCTCATGTATGTCAGATTGACATAAAATGTTGTACAACGTAAAAAATTGAGTATAGAATGACGTAATAGAGTTTTATAGAAGTACCGACATATTCCAACAGATCTCAAATTGATATTTGCTTGAAATCGATTTACATAATTTTGCACCATTGCAACAGACGAATGCCATGTTTATAGATAGATCTAAGTTCGCATTTATATAAAGATCCCATATTTCATCCAATTTTATGTTCCAATTTGATGTTCAAAGATGCGACGTCTGTTAGGATGCATCTGTTTAATATACACATAGTGGTGAAGGGTATCATATAGTCGGCCCGGTCCAACATTACTACTTTCCTTGCTGGTTTAGTTTTGTATCTCAATACCTTCCTTCACGCTAAATATTAAATCCTTAGATGGTTTTATATAGTAGCTAGGCCTAAATGCAGGCCGATGTAATCATTCTCGAACCTGCCCTTCTAGATAATATCCTCCATGTAGTAGTATTTAGTAGAGTGCCAGATGTGTAGTTTTTGAAATATTAGAATGATTCTGTATTATACTTTAATTATATATGTGTATATTTATAGTAGTCTTTGCCGGCTGATAAAATATGTAGCCGGTCAGCCCACCTTTTACTAACCTATGGGGGTTCGCGTTCCCTTCGATATAGGGAGGTCGCCCCCACGGTCGGTTGGGGCGGGTGTGAGTGGTGTGGGACCGAACGAAAAAAAAAGATAACTCACCTCTTATGCATGTTAATATATTTTTTTTAATACACTACCTTAACCAATATACTATATATTACAATTTAATATCATTATAAATCAATGCCTATGTCGACAAAAATCTTAACCTCCACCAACCTACGACAACCTTCAAATCAAATCGATATTTCCCACGAGGCAATTGTAAATTTCGAAATTTATTTGCATCTAAAACTAAATTTCTAACAATTATATCGTGCTGAAAAAGTAGGACAACATTTTAGAGATTTTTTAACATCAGAATTGGCCATGATTACTCAAATTATAAGGGTAAGTATATTGATATTTGAATCCTTGACCACAACACCATGGAACAGTTGAAGAAATTTATATTTTTTGGGATTTTTTAAATATTGACACACATCTGCACTGATGTTATACAGAAATGGTTTATAGCCACTAAACTTTTTAAATAAAGCCAAATTAGTCTGAAAAAAAAGAAAAATGTTTATATATATATACAGGGTTTAAAATGCAGCATCAAAAAATATTAGCTTTAGCTCTAAAGTGCTACTGCTAAAAAATATTGACATTATGACTAAATTAGCAAACGGCTAGCTGTTTTAGTTTGTTGCATTCGTGCTAAGCACGTATTTCACATGCGAGCTTTTTTTGTTATGACTAATCGGCAGTACGACTACATATTCATATTTCGCTGCCGACGAATAATCAGCCGATGGTTGTTTTTATGTTTGTGTGTTGCCAACGCACAAATTAGAAAAAAGGCAATTCATTTTGTGTGTTGTTATTTAATTTAAACTTGTCAAATCGCAATTAAAAACTGTCAATAATAGTACTAAAAACTAACTTATATATTAAATAAAAACCTTTAGCAAGTATTAATAATTGTCATTGTTCGAAAAAATTAAATTATCATAATCGCGATTTTTAATTATCTCATACAATTTATATAATTTCAATGGACAACACTGAAATCGAAAAATGCTCGGGTTTTGTTTGCTAAAAATCTTGCATAGCAGCCATAGTCAAGATGCTTAGTCTTCATTGTAAGCTTTGGTTGTTAGTCGCGTTGACAATTATGTTGTAGTTGATCATTGCTATTTTGTAGCTGCTGACAAAATCAAGAAGCTTTAGTTTTGTTTGCTAAAATTATTCGTAATGTATTGCTATTTGTTGCAGTTGTGATTGGCTGTGCTGCATATTTTGAGGATGAATTTAGTTAGCAGTGCGGCAATTTTCTGTGTTTTTGCTATTTTGGCGTTAGCATTTTAAACCCTGTATATATATATATATATATATATTAATTTGGTTTTGATAATAAATGTTGATCTCACCGAAATATTATTAATTGGTAATTGCCACAACTTGGCATAAACATATAACCCAATTTTACCACGACCAATTACTTTTAGGGTACATTCTTGAATAGTTACAAATTCAGTATAAAATTCGGCACATTTCAAATTTGTGAATGTAGAAAATAAGCAATAATAGTGTTAAACACCTGTACTTCATTTTTGCAACTGATCTCGACAGATCAAATTTTTATTTCCATTTAACAAGTAATAATAGGTTTTTAATTAATATTTATGTGTGAATATTAAATAAATTTTCCAAATGAATATTGAAACATAATTTTGAAATTATTTTTAAAAAATACACCTACATATCATAATATTTGATATTTTATTGCACAAACAATCTACACCCATTCTCCATTTTTATTATACACCTAAGTCTGATTTTACACCGTAGATTGGTTCCAGAAGAAGCCGTGTAAAAAAAAACCGTTTAAAAAATGGAATTCCCCTAAATTAGTGCTATTCATATTTGATTTGACCAGTTAAAATTGTTTGTACGCGCTAAATGGGAATTCACATAAATCTTTAAGCTAGTGTTCGCAAACTATCGATACTATCGATGGTTTCAGACTTTTTTCTTTCATAAATACTTTTTTTTGTGATATTAACATACTTCGCAAAAATTAAATTTGACAAAAAATTAAGTACATAAAATTTCAAATCGTGCTAAATGGAATAAAATCGTTTAAAAAAATTAAAATCACACATTTAAAAAAAACTTTGAATTTTCAAACCGGGTACAAAAAGACCGAGTAAAAAGAGACTTAGGTGTACAAGGAAAAGCTATTAGCAAAGCAAAGGTGCGATCTAAAGTAACACGGAAACTCGTTTTCGAAGGCTGCAAACACAACAGATAGCCGAAGCCTACTCCGCTCAACTTACCCACTTGCTTGACGAAAGCACTCCTTGTCCCGATAATAACACTGTGATACAAAACAAAACAAAAAATCTTTTCAGGGGTTCTAATGTACCAATTCTGTTTAGTTGGAGTCCGTGGACCACGAATATACCTTTGGTTTTTCTGGGTCACTTCGAAAATTAGTTTTATAACGGTAAATGTAGAGAAAACGTGGTTTCATAGATTTTCACTTTGAAACGCGTATAACTCATTTTCTTTCAACGGATTTATATTCTTTTTCTTCTCATTCGAAGAGTAGCATTTTTTCTTTCAAACAAGGTATATACTTGGTAAATCGGTTGAGAATTGGCTGAGTTGCAGTGGTTGAAATGTGAAAAAATACACATAAAATGACAAAATTTATTTTTCCTCGGACTGTACGAAGAAATTATGATATCAAGCCGTATAAGTTTTATTATATTACGGGGAAGGCAATTGAATAAGCTTTCGAAAATGCGAAAAATCAAAAAAATCGGTTAAAAAATGGAGGACTTATACACATTTTTGTATTGATTCTATGCATATTCTCTAAAGGAAATATGGGTCTATCTCATTTTCTTTTGTCTTTTACAAACATAATGCGGAAACGAGGAAACGAGATAGACCCATATTCTCTTTAGAGAATATGCATAGAATCAATACAAAAATGTGTATAAGTCCTCCATTGTTTTCAGAATAAACATCTCGAGCAATTCGAGATGTGCATAAGTCAGAATGAAGTTCGGAAATTTTACCAACGAGTAAGACAGTAAACCAAAAGCTTTGGTGCATGCACATCCTCCTGTAGATCTGTCCTGGTGACAGATGCAGTCAGCATATTAAGGATCTGGAAGGAGCATTTTGTAGCGGCGAAGAAGATACCCCTGAACCAATAAGAGATGACGGTAGGGGAGACTGGGGCACCTTCGGCATCGGGGCACCTTCGGCAATCGCGTTTTCGATATGAAGCTCTCACCGCACATCACTAGTTTCGATACATAGGTATCGAATATCCAAATAAATAACTGACACAAAGTTTGAAATTTCTAGCTAATAAACTTGTTTAGATACATAGGTTTTTGTGTTTTTATAGATGTTTCTGTAATATTTCAATTCCAATTCGTAAGTATTTCGTGTATAAAACTTTTTAAATTTTTAAGAGAATATTATTAAAAAGTGGTTAAGTACGATGTGTATTATAATAAAAATATAAAAAATATATTGTTTTTACAAAACAGATCGAAAAAAATGAAAAAAAACTATAAGAAGTACATTCGGGGTACATTTGGCATTTTAAAGTGGGGCACATTCGGCCATATACAGATTGTGCAATATTATATCATTAAAATGTTTTTGAGTTTGTCTTTAAAACTAATCCTTTAATATGGCTCGAAATTGCATATGTAAGAGCAAACGTGTTTGTATTGACGAAAATGCGATAGAAAACCTCTATTTCTGATGTGTGTGCGACCTTGAGATGTAAACGTCCGCCGCTAGAAAATAAAGCCCTATAATTCAAATATTGTGTGGCGTATTAAAACCAAATAGAGCCTTTAGAGGATCAGAATTTCAACCAGACTGATAGCGATGACAATTACCCGGCTATGACTATGGTGCCGAATGTGCCCCATCAAATGCCGAATCTACCCCGGGTTGGGGCACATTCGGCGAATTTGACTTTTTTTACAAAACTGTAAAATTTTTTAACTAATATTATCTTTTTATATCTTTTTGGTACTATTTTTTATAATTAAGTGTCAGAGGACAATAATCAACCATAAACTTGTTATATATGTTGAATAAGTACTGAGATATAGAGCTCTAAAAAAAGGGCCGAAGGTGCCCCAGTCTCCCCTATATAGTGTATACCACCTAGCCCAGGTGATGGGGCAGAACAGCAGTCAATCTGAGAAGAATAATAAATCAGCCAGTGCCGATGGGTTACCAGACGATCTATTCAAGACCTGTGGTCAGATGCTGGTCAGGCGCATGCACCAGCTGATTAGTACAATTTGGCTAGAGGAATGCATGCCCAATGATTGGAACCTCAGCATCCTGTGTCCCGTGCACAAAAGAAGTGTTATCCAGCGTGCTGTATGAACGACTGAAGCCAATGATCAATGACATTATTGCGGTTTCAGGCCTGGCAAATCCATCATTCACCAGATTTTCACACTGCGCCAAATCCTTGAAAAGACCCGCGAAATACACATAGACACATTCCACCTATTCTTCGACTATAAAACCGCATTAAACAGCCATATCCGTTCAGAGGTGTTTATATGTGTTCGACATGCCTGCAAAATTAATATGGCTATGCAGAAGAACTTTAACTGGCACGAGATCAGCAATTAAAGTCGGAAAGGACTTCTCGGAGCCCTTTGATACCGAAAGAGTATTATGTGACCTTTCTAACATCCGGCGGAAAAGGACATACCAGAGGCAAATATGAACCGAAATGACACTGTGTACACCAAACAACACATGTTACTTGCCTACGCCGCATAGTGTCACGACCACGGCCAAAAATGGTCAAAAGCAAGTACCTCGGAGGACAAATTTTTTGATGAGGTATGATAGAAAACACTCCGATTAGAATAAATATGAAATTTTATATCGATATGTCGAGTGGTTTTGTCTCTACAAAGGTTCAAATCTGATAATTATTTATAAACTGATTTTTTTTTTGCCATATTTTCGAAAAATGGGTGTGTTTTTCTGATGCTCAAATATTTGAATATCCAAATTAACGGTTATTATAAAAGTGTTTATTTTGGTTGCTGTGGATGTTAAAAACTAGGATTCGCTGTAGTTTGTATGTATATAGTGTATACAGTGTCCACACTTGTAGTACTTAGTTCATCAAATTTGTAGTTGTAGTTTAAAAAAGGTTAGCTCTAATTTTTTTTTATTTGAGTGGTGAAAAGTGTGTCATTTAAGGAATAACAAAAATTAGCTGCGGAGACCTGCGGTCCTAAGAGTTATTTAAATATTTTGGTGACCACCTTATAAAAAATATGGCATATTCATGAAATGGTTAGAAGCGAATGGTCCAATATGTTATGTATACAATAAAATAAGTTATTGAGGACCAAATAGGAAGCACACGATGGATTCAGAACATAGTAATTATACAATATTTTGCATAAAATTTTCGATTACGTGGTAAAAACATTATTCGATGTGGAGATATGAGAGAATTGGTTTTAAAATATAGCTTTTAAATAAATTTTCAGTCAATTTGAAGATTATACTTATTCATCAGATTATTTGAGACATAATCTTATAATCTAAATTTAGAGGCCTTTGTGTGAAGTTCATACAGAAAAATATTATTTCTTGGCATGGGATATGCAAAATGCAGTACAATACCTTTTGAGCGACTTCCACAAGATGCAAACGAGTCATGCCACAAATTAATTAGTAGCAGCCCGAACTTTTGTTAAAGCCGAGTCAAGTATGAGCATTTTCATGGAATTTGTACTAATAAAAACAATTTTATAAGTCAAAAAATCGGATTATTCAAGACCCTTTGTATGGGAGATATATCAAATCTTGATCCGATTTACCCAGTTTTTGGTTCGTGTCTTTATAGGCATAAGTAAATACAAATCCAGCCGATAGTTTACGCAGAAGGGGAAGACCGCGATTTAGATTTAGAAATCAAGTGGAGGATAACATTGCCGAAAATGGAAAAACTGCGCAAAAGACCAACTTGGCTGGAAATTTTTTTTAAGTTCGGCTTATGGAACGAAAGTTCTGTCTCAAGGCAGCTAAGTAAGTAAGTGCCATTCCGAAAAACGTTGCCTCTTTGTTGCACAATTTACATAAAATCGTCGGTCCGGCAGTCCGTCGACGAACCCTATTGAAATTGGAACAATCGGTTCAGATTTAGATATAGCTCTCATATATATTTTCGTCCGATATAATGTAAATGGTGCACCAATGTTCCTATATTTCTTTCGATATGCCCGAAATTTGACGCAGCGTACTGAATTAAGTCAAGAATGAACTTCTATTGATTTTTTATTATCAGCGCACACACACAGATCTTGTGACTGCATTAGCCACTTATCATAAAACTACTTGAACATCATTTATGAAATGCATAAATGAGAAGTGATCATACAATAAAATGTTTTAAGCCGACCATGATCATATTTTTATGAACAAGAACAATGTGTGCTAAGTTTCGTGAAAATTTGTTCAGATTTATACATAGCTCCCATATATATTTTTTCCCAATTTTATGTAAATGGTGCACAAAATACCCAAAGTTTGTCTGATTGTCACACAAGTGTGTACACTGTATTGAAGTTAATAAAAATTAATTTCTGGCAAGATTCGTTGAAATCATTTCAGATTTATATACAGCTCCCACATATATATTTTCGTCCGATTTTAGATAAATGGTGCACCAAACTCCTGATGTGTGTCCGTTTGACACGAAATTTTGTACAACGTATCGTGACGTTATTGCGTTTTTACATTGGTGCAGATACTGACATAGCTTCCATATATATTTCGAACTTATGTCAGACTGAGATTACATTCTGAACAATGCGGCATACCGATAGCGTGTATCAAGTGTGCTATAAATCGATTTACATACATCTGTTCAATTGTACGCAAACGATTTAAAATCTGCCCGAACGACACTTAATTTAGCATAGATTGCAGAAATGCATGTGTATGGATTGTCGGTTCACTTCTAGATAAAAATCATATATTTAATTCGTTCAAATGGTTAGGATACATATGTAGAATAAACCCATAGTGGTGGGGGGTATCATATAGTTGGCCGAGTCCGATTTTTACTGGTTTTAATTTGGTATGCTTAATATTTTAGTCTCAATAGGACAAACCTTGGGACTTTGGTTTCTATTGTAAAATCGGACGAACCTATATAAGGAAGCCAATTTCAAAATGGTCCGTTCTTGGACCAAGTAAATTTTAAGTGCACTAAAAAATCCTAAAACATCCACATTTATGACTGCGGCTGGCAGTCCGAAAAAACTGAAAGATTATTTTAATGATTTTCAAAACTTACGGATATATTGGTAACCGGTAATTGCCACAACTTGGCATACACATTTAGGCCAGCTACACCGCGCCTAATCACTTTAAGACGGCACTCTTCGAAAGTAGCAAATTCACGATGATTTCATATTTGTAAAGCGAATAGCCACGTTGTTCCGAATATGAAATGCCGACAATAGCAGAACTAACCTAGTATATTTCATTTTAACAATTGATCTCACTAATCAATCACATTAGGTTGATAATTATTTCTTGTTTTTTATTTTCTTCTTCGTAATTTATTATATTATTCAATAAAAATGTACTGAGGCGTAACGATGCATTTGATTCCAATTGAATTCAATATAATTTGTATTCTATATGGTGGTTAAATCATTAAAATTAATGTAAATTGTGTGATGCCTTACTTCTAGATTAAAAAATCGATCACAGAGGGTTTAATATTCGTTACGGCAGTTGAACAATGTCGTGAAAATGAAATATTCGTTGTTTAGCCAAATCCCATAGTAGTTAATATACCTCTATATAACTGGTTATATAATTCAGATTAATTCATAAACAATGTCACTGAACTGTATTGTTTATGAACTAATATCCTTTGTCGACTAGGGTCAAATAGTAGATAGTATTTAATCAATTAAAAATATATTTTTCATAATAAGTTAAAAATAATTGGAAATTGTAGTATATAAATATAGGTATGACGCAATATATATATATATATATATACAACCGTGGATGAAGGGGGAAATTTAGAACAAAGAAAAAGATGTATGAAATATTTACAACCGAGTACGCTAACCAGTATGTTATCCAGACGATGTTATAATATTTCTAATAAGCCGTTAAACTCAGCATTGAATTAGACGAGAACGAGAGGCTTAAGCGAATTCGGACAACACGAAGATATCTTTTTTTGCACCAGAAACTTTTGTATACCCACACTGTGGTGTGTCATTGTCCGTACTGATGTTAATAAAGTCTTACGTGTATCAAGTTTTATTGAAATCGTTTTAAATTTAGATATAGCTCCCATAAATCTTTTTCGTGCACGAAATAGTAAAATTTAGTCCGATTGGCACAACATTTTGCTCAATGTTATGTTCATTTGCACAATATTTTGCTCATCGGAGTCTTTTGTCTTCGGAGTCCTGACAGGGAATCGCCCTAAGGTACCCTAATAAAAAGTACCGAAAAGTTCGTTCTTTTTTGTTCCTGGCCACCAATGAGGACACAACAAAACCAGAGGTTCCCAAATGGATTTTAGATTTTTATTAAGTTAATTTTTGAAACCACATTTCGGCAATCATCTTTCTAAAGTACAAAGTACATTAAATACCACCAACAACTTGGCCACAACCAAATCCTGTGGTGCTCATGTATTCTCCGTAGACCAGATGGAGGGACAGACGGTAGTCAATAACCTGAAAAAAACAGTGAACGAATTAAAAAAAATATGTTGTTTTAATTGAGATAGTAATTCTTGCGGAAATAACTTGTACAGAAAAGGTTACGCCACGTATAGGGATTTCGCGCAAGCGTAATACCGGTAGGAAGGTTCCTATAAGTTGAAAGTCATGTAAAGTGAGGGTAAATTGAAAACAATTAAATACAAATATAGAGTTTATCTATATATAAATAAATTTCTGCTTGTTTTATCAGTGTTAACGATAGACTCCAAAATTACTGAACAGATTATCATGAAATTTTCACAGTTTATTTTTTAGTACAATTTGTTAACATGGGGTACTGAATTGTTTGATACGACAGGGGAAAAAGTAGCCCCCATACAAATTGCCCCTTTAATTTTATTAGATTAGAATTTGCCATGTTGAAAATAGGCAATGATAATAAAATGTTAGTAAATATACAAACCACAGATCCAATGGTGAATATACCTATTTACTAAATTCACAAACCAATTTTCTGTAATAAAGGTAGAAATATCAGACAGAGTTGCACTGAATAAAAGTGCAGTAAATTAACCCTTTGTGGCCCAATGTTGCCCACAGGCAACAAAATGTTTTAGAATATATATATATATATATATCTTGTAGAAATTAATATAGAGAATAATTTATATGATTTTTCTGTCGATTTTACATTTGGTTTTCTTGATATTGGACTTTAATCTTTCCGAAAGAATGTACTGTATTTCACGAATGCAAGGATGTAGCGATGTCAAATTTTGTGAATATCCTATTTAGGATGGTTGCATTAAATTTGTGAACAGAAATTTGTTCTAAGATTGCGGAAAAATTCGGGGCTCAAAGGGTTAATGTATTGTATGCCAAAATTGGACAATTCACAAAATGTGCTATGGTGTTCTACTGGTTGTATTTGCTAAGCATTTTCCAGTAGTATGCAGTGAGCCTATAAATGTAATGCAATTCTTATATTTTTGCGAGAAAAAATTTATGAATTTGCAAATTATTAATAACATTATAATTTAAGAACTCCAATGATAAACTACTATCATGGCAATAATAACTTTTAAATGCCAGGTTTGTACCTGTGAATAGATATAGTAGCTAAAAGGGTAGTACATACTTGCATATGTACAAATTTTATATCGAAATATATATATATATATATATGTTAATGAGATTTAGACAGTATGTGATGACATGCCCTGAAAGCAACATAGGCTGGACAAACATAAAAACATTTGTATGGATGCGGAGTTATAACATTTATAGTAGTCGTACCTCAAAATTTATGAACAAGATATATGCGTATGTCTTAAGAACTGTTATAGATTACCGCTTGAAAATTTGTTAGATTAATGTGGATGTAAATACACGACATCTGCACAAAAATGAAAATGTTGCGATCAACGGAAAATTCCCTTTTTACTGCATATTCAAAATAAGAATATTTAAAATAGTTAACATAAACATTTTCAAACATTATGGTCATGTAATTTGTATATCTTAAGAACGGTTACAGATACCGAATTCAAAATATTTCTGAGTAACGTGGGTGTAAATACGCATCATCCATAAAACATGAACGTTATACGATCGAGGTAAAATGCAATGTAATCTATATATATAGAAAATATATTGTTTGTGGACTCAAAACCACTGAACAGATATTACTAAAATGTTCACAGTTGGACAAGCGATCTCATAGATGTAACATAGTATCATGATAAAAATTATTGATATAATATTTTTTTTAATTTTTGTCACTTGAAAACACTCTTTTTAGGTTTCAAGAAAACAAAAAATATCACTATTACAAAAAAACGGTGATAAATTCATAACTACTATACAAAAATCCCCAGTTACCAAACAGGATGGCAGGAGAAAACATAGACATTTAACACATTTTTGTAGTGCTAATGTGAGCAGGGTTTACCTAATTTTAAAATTAACCAGTATACAAAGTTCAAAAGTCGGACAGGCCGATGGGACGGGATGAAAGTTAATTCCTTTCGGTACGCACAAGAGATGCTCATTTGTACAATATCCTGCCGATAGAATAGCATAGCATCTTTGGAGGACAATTGAAATGGAATGGGACGAAATTAACTGTATGAAGTACATAGATATTTACACTAATTTAAAACAACCCATACATATACCATTTTGAAATTTATGACAAATTGAATGTGAATCATCGAGGAAAATATGTACGTGAGCTATATATAAATGGACATATTTGAGCAAAAGTGCACTATCCAAAATTTATCTCGACAAAAATCCCATACACGTTATTCTAGGTTCTACATGGTACATTGTGCACTAATTCGTCCTAAGCGGACAAACTTTAATTATTTGGTACATCATTTAGATGAAATCGGAAATAAATATTGAATCTATGGGTCTCATGCATAAAACGTGAGCTTGAGCTCGGACTCGATTTTTTGAGCAAAAGATGCTTGTCGTATGCATAATAAAATTTAATGTATTTACTTTTACTCAGTGCTCACGTTTGATCTCTTCTTGCTCAGTTTGAACTTAGAAATTGATGTTGGATGAGATTGTTCTCATTTTCATATGCATAAAAACAAGCTTTTGCTTACTTTTGTGAGCTCTTGCTTAACTTTTGTTGAGCATGCCTCTTAGTTGACTCGCGTACACTAAAAGGAATAGTTATCAGTGATTGTGAACATAATTTATCACAGAAAATGATTTTGGAAAAATATTTCATGAATATTTTGTGTTGAAGCTTGACAATAACCCCCCAAATATAAACTAAGACATGTCAAAGATTGGTTGCGGGAGTCAAAAATCCGGGTTTTATGATGGTCAACACAATCATCAGATCTTCACCCTATAGAAAAATCTTTGGAGCATCATCGATAGCAAAATCAAAAGGGATTCAGTAACAAACACACAACCTCTTCCCAAAGGTTCAGGATGCGAGGAAAGGATCAAATTTTGGATCGTATATGTTCAATGCCTCATAGGTGTGCTGCCGTAATCAAAAAATTACGGTTTTGCTGTCGGTTACTAGCAAAATTTGCTTATTTATAAAAAAAAGAAAAAAAATCAAAATTGGGTCAATTTAGTTTTCCATAGAATCATTTTTATTTAAAAAAAAACTTTCACTATATTTCAAAAAAACTTACGGGTCATTAATTCAGTTTGCAATTTCAGTTGCTTTAGTTTAGCCACCAGTGTATATCATTTATGGAGTCTCAGGTGAATATTTCGAGATGTTGTAAACGGAATGAAAAATTGAAGAATATTAGCCAAGTATTTGCAAATGTTCGGGTTTCAACAGACGGGTATGGATATAATTGATTTTTATTCGGAAAATATATGTATATATACATATCCTTTAGAGTGTCTTCGACAAATATTTCGATGTGTGGAGTATATACACTCCGTCTTATGGTACATATTATAATAATATAAACCATAATAATAATATAATCCGTTATTTCTATTCCAAATGCTTGCTTCATTTCATTGACACATGTTTCTATTGTCTATTTTTTCATATTTTTAATGCTTGGTAACTGACTTTTTTCAAGTAAATATTTATTTTCTTTAATTTTTGTTATACTAAAAATGTAGATATATCGTTAGTTTCTATTTTATTATTAGTATTTACTACTACTTCTAATTCACTTCCACTTGACGACATGTTTGCACTGCAATAACAATTAGAAGTTTGATCTCAATTTGCTCAAGTATTTGCAATTGGTTTGAACTCATTTTTATGTATACGAAATTGAGCAAAAGCAGTTGCTGTTCGATCTAACTCAACTTACGAGCAATTGCTTACTAGACTCAACTCATCGCTTTTGCTCGTTTTTATGCATGAGACCCTATATCTAAACCTGAAAAGTGTTCAATCCAATACACTATGCAATATTTCATGTATTCCTACAAAACTTCGCATACATCAATCTGAACCTAATTCAGTAAGCTGTGCAAAATATTGGGTCTCATGCATAAAACGTGAGCTTGAGCTCGGACTCGATTTTTTGAGTAAAAGGTGCTTGTCGTATGCATAATAAAATTTGATGTATTTGCTTTTACTCACTGCTCACGTTTGATCTCTTCTTGCTCAGTTTGAACTTAGAAATTGATGTTGGATGAAATTGTTTTCATTTTCATATGCATAAAAACAAGCTTTTGCTTACTTTTGTGAGCTCTTGCTTAACTTTTGTTGAGCATGCCTCTTAGTTGACTCGCGTACACTAAAATGAATAATTATCAGTGATTGTGAACATAATTTATCACAGAAAATGATTTTGGAAAAATATTTCCTGAATATTTTGTGTTGAAGCTTGACAATAACCCCCAGACATAAACTAAAACTTGTCAGCGATTGGTTGCGGGAGTCTCAAATCCGGATTTTATGATGGCCAACATAATCATCAGATCTTCACCCTATAGAAAAATCGTTGTATCATCATCGATAGCAAAATTCAAAGGGATTCACTAACAAGCAAACATAACCTATTCTCAAAGGTTCAGGATGTGAAGAATAGTGCATCAAAGGATCAAATTTTGGATCGTATAGGTTCAATGTCTCGTGGGTGTAATCAAAAATAACGGGTTTGCTGTCGATTACTAGCTAAATTTGCTTATTTATAAAAAAGAATAAAATCAAAATTGGGTCAATGTAGTTTTCCATAGAATTTATTTTTATTTCGAAATAAATGGCACGTTTATATTCTTAAAAAAAACTTTCTCTATAACTTTATTTTCAAAAAAAATTAATTCATCATTAATTCAGTTTGCAATTTCAGTTGCTTTAGTTTTGGCCACCAGTGTATATATTTTATGGGGTCTTAGGTGAATATTTCGAGATGTTATAAACGGAATAAAAAATTGAGGAATATTAGCCAAGTATTTGCAAATATTCGGGTTTCAACAGACGGGTATGGATATAATTGATTTTGATCAGGAAAATACACATTTCTATTCCAAATGTTGCTTCATTTCTTTGACACTTGGTA